GGGATATTGGCCTATAATTTTCTTTCATTGTGCTGTCTTTATCTGGTTTTGGTATTAGGGTGATGCTGGCTTCATAGAATGAGATTGAAAGTGTTCCTTCCTCTTGAATTTTTTAGAATAGTCTGAGGAGGATAGGTTTTAGCTCTTCCTTGAATGTTTGGTAAAACTCCCCTGTAAAGCCGTCTGGCCCCGGGCTTTTGTTTGCTGGGAGCTTTTTGATGACTGCTTCAATTTCTTCCATAGTTATTGGCCTATTGAGATTTGTAGATTCTTCCTGATTGAGTTTTGGAAGGTAGTGTTTTTCTAGGAATATGTCCATTTCCTCCAGGTTGTCTAGTTTGTTGGAGTAGTGTTGTTCATAGTATTTTTTAACAATCCTTTGAATTTCTGTGGGGTCTGTTGTTATTTCGCCTCTTTCATTTCTGATTTTGTTTATTTGGGTCCTCTCTCTTTGCTTCTTGGTGAGCCTGGCTAGAGGTTTGTCAATCTTGTTTATCCTTTCAAAGAACCAGCTCTTGGTTTCATTGATTTTCTGTATTATCTTTTTGGTCTCTATGTCATTTATTTCTGCTCTAATCTTTATTATCTCCTTCCTTCTGCTCACTCTGGGGTTTTCTTGTTGCTCTCTTTCTAATTCTTTGAGTTGTAGAGTTAGATGATTTACGACCATTTTTTCTTGCTTTTTGAGATGGGCCTGTAGAGCTATAAACTTCCCTCTCAGGACTGCTTTCATTGTGTCCCATAGGTTTTGGATTGTTGTGTTTTCATTGTCATTAGTTTCCAGGATGCTTTTAATTTCTTCTTTGATCTCATTGGTAACCCAATCATTATTAGTAGCATGCTATTCAGCTTCCAAATGTTTGAGTTTTTTGGATTGTTTTTATTGTAGTTTATTTCTAATATTATGCCATTGTGGTCTGAGAAGATGCTTGGTATGATTTCAATCTTCTTGAATTTGGGGAGACTTTGCTTGTGACCCAATATGTGGTCTATTTTTTAAAATGTCCCATGTGCACTTGAGAAGAACGTATATTCCGTGGCTTTGTGGTGAAATGTTCTGAAGATGTCAATTAAGTCCATCTAATCTAGTGAGTCATTTAGGATCGCTGTTTCTTTGCTGAGTTTTTTTGTCTAGAGGATTTATCCAGTGATGTCAGTGGTGTGTTTAAGTCCCCTACTATGATTGTATTGTTGTCGATCTCTCCCTTGATATCTTCCAGGAGTTTTGTTTTATGTATTTGGGTGCTCCTGCATTGGGTGCATATATGTTTATCAGGGTTATATCCTCTTGTTGTATCGATCCCTTTGGTATTATGAAGTGGCCTTCCTTATCTCTTGTTATGGCCTTCACTTTGAGGTTTATTTTGTCTGATATAAGTATTGCTACCCCAGTTTTTTTTCATTTCCATTTGTCTGAAAGATATTTTTTCCTCCTTTCACTTTCAGTCTGTGTGAGTCCCTTGTTCTGAGGTGGGTCTCTTGTAGACAGCATATATATGGGTCGTGTCTTTTTATCCATTCAGCCATTCAATGTCTTTTAATTGGAGCATTTAGTCCGTTTACGTTTAAAGTTATTATTGAAAGGTACTTGTTTGTAGTCATTTCTATTTTTGTGCCTGTGTTCTTTCTTACCTTTTATTTCTTCTTTTTACAGCATTCCCTTTAGCATTTCTTGCATTGCTGGCTTGGTAGTGATAAACTCCCTTAGCCTTTTTTTGTCTGCGAAGCTCCTGATTTTCCCTTCAATTTTGATTGATAGTCTTGCTGGATAGTGTATTCTTAGATTCAGTCCTTTGCTTTGCAACACTTTGTATACTCCTTCTATTCCCTTCTAGCTTGATGTGTTTCTGTTGAGAAATCATTTGATAATCTGTTGGGGGATCCTTTGTAGGTAACTCTCTGTCTCTTGCAGCCTTTAAGATTCTCTGTCGTGAAGATTTGCCATTGTAATTATGACGTGTCGTGGTGTGGGTCTTTTGGGATTCATCTTGCTTGGGACTCTCTGTAGTTGTGTAACTTTTTTCTTCCCCATATCTGGGAATTTTTTTGTCATTATTTCTTCAAATAGATTTTCTAATCCTTGTTGCTCTTCTTGTCCTTCTGGCTACCCTATTATGCGTATGTTACTTCATTTCATGTTGTCCCAAAGCTCCCTTAAGCTCTCCTCCTGATTTTTAATTTTTTTCTCTAGTTGCTGTTCAGATTGAGCTTGTTTCTCTATGCTATCTTCTAACTCACTAATTCGGTCCTCTGCTTCTTCTAGTGTACTGTTGAAAGCTTCCATAGTGGGTTTTTTTTTCCAAAATATATTTTATTGATACTTTACAGAGAGGAAGGGAGAGGGATAGAGAGTTAGAAGCATCGATGAGAGAGAAACATCAATCAGCTGCCTCCTGAACACCGCCTACTGGGGATGTGCCCGCAACCAAGGTACATGCCCTTGACCAGAATCGAAACTGGGACCCTTCAGTCCGCAGGCTGACGCTCTATCCACTGAGCCAAACCTGTTAGGGTTTCCATAGTGTTTTTGATTGTAGCTATATCACTTTTCCTTTCTTCCTGATTCTTGCATAGGTTGTTGATTTTCTCATCCATCCGGTGAATGAATTGTACAATTACTCTGAATTCTTTTTCTGTCATGTTGCATGCTTCAATTTCATAATTTCCTTTCTTGGCGATTCCAAATTTTCTTTCCTCTGGGGATTGTGTCATCTCCCCATTCTGACTATCACCAGAAGGTTCAAACTTCAAGTTGCGTGGGCCTAGGCCATGTGTAGTGGGAGCTTCACACCACCCTAGTGTCACTGAAGAGCTCTGACACTAAGATGTGTGGCTGCTGTGAGTTGGTGGGAACCAGGCTCACCCAGAGTCAGTGTTACCAGCGCTCAGTGTGGCCTCATGTGCGCACCTAGAATCAGGGACCCCGCCTGCACCACGCTGAAACGGAGACCCCCCTGGCATGTGCCGAAAATCAGAGCCCCCTAGCCTGTGCCAGGAGTCAGAGTTCCCCAAGAATCCAGTATCAGAGTCTCTGTTGCTTCACGCGGCCTTGCACTGAGAATCAGGGTCCCTGTGTGTGCATGTACCAAGAATTGGAGTCACTGGCTCTTAGTGTGAATGCACTGGGAGTCAGGGATCCCAGGCACATGTGATAAGAAATAGAATCAAGTCACTGGTGCTCAGTGCTGTCTCCCGCCCGGAGAATCGGGGTCCCGGTCAGCTTGGGGGACTGGCTTGCACAGTAGCACTGTGTCTACAGGAGGTCATAACCTGCACTGTGGAAAACAGATTTCAGTGTGCGCTTGCCCAGAATCGAAGTCAGGTGGCACTGCCACCCTGCATGGGCTTCGGGTTTGGTCGCCCGATTGCATGTGTTGTGGGGAACAGATTCCCAGTGTCCACACACTCCCAGGCTCAAATACCTTTAGCAGCGTTGCGGGGAACAGATTCCCAGTGTCCGCTCACTCTCAGGCTCAAATTCCTGTAGTGGTGCTGCGGCCTGTGTGCGAGGGGCAGGTCTATCAGTTACTATAGAGCTGCCCAGGAGCATGTGGGGAGGGGGATGGGCTCTGTTACTCACAGAAATCTGCGGCCGGGATGTCTGGGTTCTTGGTGTCTGTGGGTCTGCAGCTGTGGTCACAGGTCTCTGTCCCCAGTGGCTGCAGGGTCCTGGTTTGCGTCTGAGACCAGACTGGGTGGTGCTGAGGCCAGGATCCTAGTCTCAGGCAGCTCTGTTTCTCAAGATGGCGTGGTCTCTGTGCCTGCGCTGGCCGCCCAGGAGTGTCCGCGCAGGGAGCGGGGCTCCGCCGTCTAAGACTGCCCAGTTTGGCAGCCCCTTGGAAGACCTGCAGAATCTAGCTGTCCCTAGCTCATACACACACACATCACACACATCCACACATTCCTCTATCGCTCCCTCACTCTCTCACACTCTCTCCCTCCCTACCTTCCTGCTGGTCGTCATCTTCAGGTCTAATTTTAAAAGTCTGATCTTTGGGAGAATGCTAAGAATTTGCTATTTTATAACAAGGAAAGTAATCTTTTCACAGGGAATAAGTTTCTGTAAACAGAGACATTAATGTTTTACATGCAGTTTTATTATTTAAATTAAATTTATTGGGGTGACATTGATTAATAAGATTACATAGGTTTCAAGTAGAATATTATACTAAGCAAAATAAGTCAGACAGAAAAAGTTAAGGACCATATGATCTCACTCATATGTGGGATATAAAATTGAAAGCAATAAATGAATAAAAAAACTCATAGTCAATAGCTCAGTTCTACATTTCATATCTAAAACTGTATTCCAAATAGAAATATGGGGCTTAGCTTTCTCAGTAGAAAATAACCATTCAGTAGTTTCTAAAAGTGAATTTAAATATGAATTTCGAGGAAAACAATATTTCTTGTGTAAAAGTCATATTTATGAATCAAAGGCATAAACCAAAACTAAGATTATTAAAGTTGACCATGATATTGATAATTAAGTCATATCAATCTGGTAAGATAATACCAGCTAAAGCTAATGAAGATGAGTTGCTTTAAATTTCTCAGGAAAACACACTAATTCTAACACCATTAATTAGAACCTTTCAAGTGATGGAGGAAATATAAACACCTGAACTTGGAGGCAAAGAAATGTAAAGTATAAGTGTGCTGCTATCTGATGTGTCACAGAAATGGTAGTGCCCTTTAGTCTTGGGTACCTTAGGTCAGAGACTGTTACCACCATCTGGCAACTCTGATGGGTGCCATCCAACTCGTGGCTGGAATTAAATTACACAATGCCTATCAGAACAGAGAGAGACTAATGAAAACATTTTACCTTATTGATGCAAATTATGCAATCAAATTACATAAACCTTGGCTGAGAAGGGGCCAGTTCAAAGGGGTCAATTTCCCATTTTATAACAGTACATCAAAACAGAAAATCCACAGTGCCTTTCAAAAGCCCTACATTGAGAAAAACAATAATCAAGAGGAACAAGCAAACATTGTTTCATTTACAATTTACTAGCTCTTCCAGTGTTTCAGAGAGAGAAGAAAGTTTCAATGATCTTACATGATGATAGGGACAAAAGGTGGACTTATATGATACTGGACAAATGTCTAGATTGAATCAGACTATTGGTGTAGCTTTTCGGTCAATGGGTAACATGGGGCAGTTTTCCAAACCAGGCAATCTAGTAGCTCACAGAGGGTAATGTAAATATCCTAAAATGAAAGAAAAACATTTACTTGCAACCCAATTATCAATATCTGTATTCACTTGCACACCTTCTAATCTATTCTACTAATAAAGGCTTTCATGTGTTCCCACTATGCCCTAATCACTTTTCAAAGTGCCAGAGTAACAGCACTAAAGCACCGCCTCTGCCATTATGGAGTATAAGGTCTTATTTTATACCATATATACACCTATTTTGATAGTTCTTTGTCTCTAATAATAAGTCCACCAGATGATTGTGATAATGAGAACTAGGCCAAAGCCTAGGGGAAATGCCACTATTGGTCAAGAGCAGAGTGTACTTCCCAGGGAACCTCATTTCTCTTCACCAGGGATGAGGGCCATATAAGGCCTGCAAAATCATTTGATCTGGCCCTGCCAAGGCAACCACAGGCAGGACTTGAAATTCAACAAATCTAGGAGCTTTTTTCATAGCAACATAAATTTATATTAAGTGAATTATGTTAAGCGAATGATGTTATAAATATACAAATGGCCCTTGGCAGAAAAAAAGGTTCCCCAACCCTGCTCTTCACTCTAGGTTCAAATTTGCTAGAAAGGGGACCATCACTCAGGATCTTCAGGCTGGACATGTGTAGGTAAACCAAAAGAGGCCCTTCTGTCCTTTTTGGTCATGCCTTGAATTTAGAGACCTGAGCTATCTATGTGGGGCTAACAGTACCAGTAAGATTTGAAGGCACTACTGGACAATACCTTTTTGGCAAACTTACTCCATCTATCACATGCACAGGCTGAAGCAAATACCAACACTGATATAGTGGAGGACCAAAATGAACGTACCTTAAAGATGGAAAGGAGTAAGCATATGTAATGTTGGTTACACTATCTCATACTGGTTGTTTGTTATAGCGCGAGAGAGGCAGTAGGCGAGAAAGATTCCAATCAGCTGGAAATAAAATACAAGCAAAATTAAATACACACACCAAAGAGCTTAAAGACCTCAGGGTGTAGGTAGAGTCTCCTTAACTTCTAATTCACTAATGATTTCCTTCCTGAAGTTTTTCTGGATAGTTATACTATGCAGCATCTAGGTCACATTCAAAGGATATAAGCGAAGTTCTACTACTACTGTGACCTGGAATTTCACAACTGTAACTGACAAAAATCACTCAAGGAAAGGTCTAAATGTCATAATTTTTGGGAAACACTTCTTCCTCTTCCTCTGTTATCAGAACAAAAAGGGTATGACTTAGAATAAGAATCTCATCCAGTAAAATTTCCATCTGTGAGGACAGAGATTTTCCTGGAGAGTCTAGAGCAGCGTTGCAGTGCTGGCAATGGTGTGTAATACCAATACCTCTCCTGTCCAATAAGATCACCACTGACCACCTGTGGCTTTTCAAGATTTCAAATAGGGGTAGAGTAACTGAAGAAACAAAATTTAAATTTTATTTAAGAAACAGAACCTTTAAAATGTAGCTAGTGGATATTTTCTTAGACAAAGCAGATTCAGATATAGCTATGCCTACTACTTTAGAAATATATTAAGACTAGACTTCATCAATTACATAGGTCAAAATGCTTTTAGTTTTATCTCCACAATGTTTAATAGGAAAAATACCCCCTAAGTAAGTTGTTTAGAGCCACAATATAGACTTTTCATGCTATAGTGAGACATAGCAAAACTCCAGAAATACAACTTGAATCCAAAACATAGTACCCACCTAAAATAATAGGCACATATTGAATGTGGGTTTGTATGATCTAAATTTTAATAGGCTGGGACTTACATGCAACTCATCAGGGAGTTGCAGCTCAGGAAAAAAGAAAGAGATTCTAATAATGTTTTAGAATCTTGACTGACTGCAGAGCAAAGCAAGGTTCCGGTCTATCTCATATTTTGTTTAATGAACTGCGATGCTGGAAAGTTGCCATAACTAAGAGGGCACCAGGTCTTTCTACAGTTAACTGCTTTCCAAAGATATACACGGCTAGAAGTTAATTTTAAGCCTTGCTTTTTGTAGTTTCAAGGAATGACTGGCCATGTAAAAAGAAGAGGTAAAATGGTAATAAAAACTTAAATCTGTAGTTATGGAAAAATGTAAGAGCTAAGACATCAAAAAATTGGAATGAAAAAGGCAAAATATTCCTTTCCAAATAAGCTAAATAAAAACCCAATCACAAATGATTTACTACATATGCTTCATGTACTGTGATGAGCAACTGAGAGTTGTGAAAATGTAACTTCTCTGAAAATGCCCACTATCCAAGGCCCTGAAGCGAAAACTTGAAGCCTTCAAAGTGGAAATCTTCTAGCTGACACCTATAAGAGTGATGAAACAGTTCCTAAATACATGGATTTACCTGGAAACAAGCAACTCCAAAGGAAATTCCAGCAACAACTCCCATTTCTGATTCTATAATGGTCATCACCTTTATAAAACAACCCTAATGGGAGAGAAAAAAACTATTAAGTACAGCACGAGCAATAATATTTTGATCATACATGTTGGCAGAAAGATGAGCTTTGGATACACACTAGCCTTTGCCATTTTATTAAAGTTTACTCTTTCATGTAACAAACACTGTCTCCTTTCAAGCACAGTGTTTTTGGTAGAACTTTGAGGAACAGAAGTTCCACCTTTTGGATTATACATTTAAAAAGCGTTTCTTGCTAGTTGTATGAACTCAAGTCACGCATTTTCTGAGTTCAATTTCCTCATTTATTCAATGAGAATAATACCTGCCCTATTTCAGATTATGTGTACTGTGATTAAAAACTAAAAAGTGAGGCAACTCTGTATTCAGTTAGTATCTTCAAAAAAATTATAAAAGGCTCCTTACTTCATTGTTTACTTTATCGGCATCCCTCTGAGGAGAACAATCTTCAACTTTACAGCAGCTCTTGGGAAATCCTTTTTCTATGTAATAATTAGTATCCTTCCAATCTCTAAAGTTTGTGGCACCACAACAATGTAACTGAAAAATCCCAACAAAAACATTGATACTTCACATTGTAGTCAAACATTTAACCTATCATCTTAGATTATAATTTGTGTTCCAAACAACATTGGGACGGGGACAGGTGCAGGGTGGAGGGGGAAATAGGGGACATCGGTAATACTTTCAACAATAAAGATAAATTTTAAAAAACATTTTTATATGTAATTATTTTTTGTGTGGCTGTCCTTAATTGGCATTATAATTCAAAAGACGAACACTTGTTTCAAACACCAAATGTTTCTAACATTTTGGGACTGGCCTTACTTTCCTGCTATTGTTGGTGCTAACAGGACTTGGGCCATGATGTCAGTGGGGACTGAAGTGTTGCACATGTGAGGAGAATGATTAGGAGAAAATGGAGATATGTCCCTTAGTATCGTCATACTCTTCAGGGAAATATCTTCATTCTCTACTGATCTAAGATTATAATGAGAGCATAGGACAAGTGGACCCTATCTTCTTCTCTAAGGGGATAGGGACTGTGTCCCCCTCTTGAGAAGACACCTCCAATGATCACTTACCGTACTTTGAATCTTGTCTACTGCATTGCTTCTATAATCTCCCGTAGCATTATACTGCTTTAAAGCTTTCTCATAATTATTCTTAAAGCTGTCCTTAATCTACAGCAAAGAAACACAAGGCCAATAAACAAAGTCAAATAAGAAATTCCTACATCTGACAGCAGCAATATGCATGGTAATTAACTTCTATGGGCCAATTCTGTCCTCCAAGGGATATAAGTTAGCCGAGGGGACTACTAAATGTTTGTAAGCAAAACATTACAATAAAAGATGATAACCACTACAAGTTCAAAGTGCTATGGGAGCATGTATTTATTCAAGTGGCAGCTCTGTTCTGCTGTATTCACCCCACCCCAATCTTTATCCAGTTTTAATAGCACAAATTTGATGCCTGTGGAATGTTTAAGCTACTTCACTTTGGGAGGATGCACTACCACATTGTAAAAAATACTCTCATTGATGAGCCTTCACTACTCACTGAATCATTTTGTAACCCCAGGCTTAACAGAGTGGAATGCTGATTCCTAATTCAATATTAAGGTTTTCATGATGTGCATTAAGTATATCCAGTCTTTTCTGTGTGGCATAAATGGAGATGGTATCAATTTTGTGCTTTAAATAGTTTCCTATCAAAGTTATAAACTGTACCATCTCCACTTTAATAGGTACTTATACACAGAAAAATTACTAGAAATACATGTAATTATGGGTATCTTTAATTTTGTTCTGGTGATTGTTAGTCTTCACCATTTTCTAAATTTTTTTATATTAAAAGTGGACTAGAATTTTTACAAGAAAGTCATTCTTGTTAGCTATGAGTTGCAAAAATAAGGCTTTAAAACACAACTGTAAGTGATTTTTAAACTAGTCAAAGTTGTCTGTAACTCTGTGATTTAAATGAATCCATTTTTATCTCCCAAACTCTGGCTTACCTCATGTCTGAAAACAAATCCAACAATGGCAGCGACCAGTTCAACCAAAAAAATGAGAGTCAGAAACATTGCATACTGCAAGATAAAAAAAAAGTCTAAGTCAGCATAAATTAGATACATCACAGCAGCAAAGGGAGTCAAGGGAAAATGGTCTCTTCAATCAGCGTGTTTTTTATTGAAAATGACAGGAAAAGCACAACAAAAGTGGTAACTGGCAGCTGAACTATTACTTGGTAAGGTTTCATAAGGAACCAGAGAAATCTTAAAAGGCCATGGCCAGTTCCAAAAAAGCAAAGCCCACTTCTAAGGAAAATAAGGACTCACCAGTTTTAGCATCCACGCAGAAGCTCGGCAGGTAGCAAAACAGCCAAAGGTGCCCAAAAGAATGATGACAGTGCCAGTGCCGATGAGCACGAAGGGAACATTGGTGGCCTTCTCATTTAAAAGGGAGAAGTAATTCTCCAGGCTCACCTTGCCCCAAATGCCAACGGCAAGAAGGATAACACCAGTGATCTATGTGGGAAATCAGAGAATAAAAAGTTATACACTGATTTGAATAGACTTAAAAGTGATATATGTATATCCAAACCACAAACCACTAGGTATTTAAGTAACAATAGGTGTGACAATTATTTAGCAGTCCATGGCCACAGAGCTGTGGCTGGGATGTGGCAGACAAGGAGGGGGAGGGGTCTAAAGGGGATCTGCTCAAAAGGACAGGCCTTTATAAATCCACAGCTGGATCATTTTAGGTAGCCCAGGTAGCCAGGGTGAAGCCAGGGGGCAGCTAGAGAAGGCATCTTAATAAAATCCTTAAACTTCATCTGTTTTGCTGTATAAACACAAACCCAGGGTATACTTGCCCTAGGGATCAAAAGTTTCTTAACTGTCTTACTCCTGCTTAATAAAACCTTCCTGGAGGGGCGGGGTATTTTTATGAATTCCAGAAACTTCCCCTTCCCCCAACATCAGAGATGAGTACAAAGGGATGGTACACAAAAGCAAGTCCAAGGATAGATTGGCGGGAATGGGGCCATTACCATACTTACCTGTGAAATACTCCCCTCTTTATGAAGCAGTGAAAAGAAAGAGACTATTATGCAAGCAAAAGCCCTCAGAGTGGCCGGCCCAGCCCTGCTTCTCTAAAGGTCCGGGGACACCCTCTGCATACCCTGGAGGGTAAACTCCCTTCCTCGCCGCCCCCACCCCCACCCCCACCCCGCATCGAATTTGAATGCTGGGCACGTCTGGGTTCCTCAGTTCAGCCTACCGGCCGCCGCCATCCCGCACCACGACCCTGGCAAGGGCGAGATGCACGCGCTCAAGCCCCAGCAACTCGTCGCCTCTGTCCCCACAGCACCTCTGCCCAAATCTCTCCACCCCATGTCTCCCCTGGAATCCCGGACCTGAGCTCCCTCCGCTCAGGGTCACACCCCCAACCCAAGCCCAGGGTCCCCTCCCGTCCCCGGGCGCCTCCGTCTCTCACCCAGAATATGAAAGTGTAGATCAGAAGGACGCTCTTGAAACAAGTGATGACTGGTTTAGTCTGCAGCCTCCGAGACGGGGACGCCATGACTAGCCCAGGACCCTGCCCGCCGGACTGGGGATCAGAGCCGAGGAAGCGAGAAGCGGCGTCCCCGAGTCTCCCCGGAAACTGCCGAACACTTACGAGCGTCCACAACTGAGAAGAGCCGGAAACACTGTTCGGTTTCTAGAGGGTGAAGTCCTGAAGGTTGCCCGGAAAGTGCGACAATTTCCGAGCGCCCCCTGCCGAAGGTTACTGAAAACTATATACAAAGGTTCTAGTGTTGGGAATTTCTTAGATCTTTCGGTGGACCTGGCTTCCTTTTTGCACTAAAAATCTTCCCCGGTGCCCCCCCTCGCCCCGCCTCTCCGCGGTTCTTATAACTTCATGTTTCTATCATCGTCAGCGCCCGCGCTGAGATTCGGCCTCCTCGGCCCTTAGTTCCCTAAAAGGAAAGAAAAGAGTAAAAAGTTAAAAGTGACCTAAGAACACTTTCATTACATGGCAAAATACCCACAAGAAATGTATTTCCAAGGAGGAAGCGGGCTGCGAAGCGATACATGCAGTCACACGTTTTGAGACAAAAACTGAAGGGAAACGTGCGATTTACTTGAGGAGCGGGATTAGGCGGCTTTGTTTCTCACTTGTTTTGTGCTTTTCAATTTTTGAGCATTGTTTTATGTGGTGGGGAGAGAGCATAAAAATGAAAGGATTGTGGGAAATAATCGCTTGTTGAAAGAATTCCAAGCTAGGTATGACAGATTGATAATACATTTTAGAATTTCCTCTTCTCATTCTCTAAGTAATTGGAAAGTTGAGGGGAAAGTGTTTAAAAGTAATTAATGCTGAAGCGGAAGTTCAGCCATTAGGGAAACTTTTAAAAAGGGAAGGTGCTACAGAGAATACCAGGTAAATGTGATCCCCTTTTAAATGTTAAAACTGAAAGGCACTCTATATTCCAACCCCTGGGTTTTCAGATTAAGAACCAGCTGATCATAAAGAGGCTGACATCTAAGGTCACACAGCTAATAGCAAAACCAAAATTTACTGTGCTAATATTATTTTTCCTTTTAAATCATATGTGTAGGTAGCTCCATGTCCCCATGTTACGTTTCATGAACAGGTGAGTCTACATTGTTACAACACAGAACATGTAGTAAGGTCTGGTTCCTCAATTAAAGTGTAAGCTCTTTGAAGGCAGAGGCTGATAGTCTAGTGAGTGGGTGTTATTGCTAGAGGACCACAGTTGCCTAGCCAACTGACACAAGCTTAACATCATAAATGGGCATTGAGTAGTATTGCTATGGCAAAAAGTGAAAGAGAGACGAATGCCCAAACCTTTTTACTTGAAACCTTGTTTTAAACGTATACCAGAAAACAGGAATGTTCCATTGATTTGGTCACACAGAGCTTCCCTGTGCTTCGAATATTGACCTAGGACCAGCTCCTTTTAGCATCCTGCCAGATGTCTGAGGCCCTAGAGAGCAACTATTGGAAAATGAATTACTTGTACTGCCAGGCTTTACCCTAGAATTTTATCCTAAAATTACAAAAGCCTAACACATGAATACATGCAGAGAATGGGTAAATGATACATCTATAATCCTATTAGCACTGAGGCAAGGTCGCCAGGGAATATACCATAGCATACATCAACTTTTCAAGTACCACATATGCCAAAGCTACAGGAAATAACTGTAAGGGGGACTCTAAGTGTATATTATATAAAGATTTCTTCTAAGGCTAGATAATACTCTCTGAGAGGTTCTCCTATTAAACAAGTATCAAAGGAAGTCCTGCTAATTCCTTGTCATCTTAAATGGAAGTTTCCTCTGAAATTTAGGTTTGTACAGTGTCCTGGAAGGGATTTTCGTTATAAGCCCCAGAGCGAAGAAATATTTTTATGGCTGAAGAAAAAACAAAATAGTCAAAGCAAAAGCCACATCTTATTTCCAAAAATGTGTTGATTTTTCTCCTCTCCCTTCCCCTGACACTCACAACGCTGCTTTGTTTGAATAACAGTCAGTGCCAAATTAAACCAGAAGCTGACGTGGAATTTAATATTCTTGTGGCCACAACACCTTGCACCTCTGTCTCCCACCCTGCTACACCCCCATCCCCACCATGCCACCAAACTCAGTTCAGTTTAGTTCCAATTTAGGTGTGGGTTTGATTCCAAACCCAGCCCAAAGAGGCATCTAATCACATCTAAGGCAATATAAGAACTAATTCTCTAGGTCAGAAGATAAATTTATTCTTTAAAGTATTAATAATGACTAACATTGACCATTGGCTATGTACCAACCACAGTTGTTAAGCACTCAACACGTGTCACAATATGTGTACATCATAAAAGCCATTATTGTGATGTCAAGACTACTACTGGCAGCAACTTACAGATGAAGAAAGAGGTTCAGAGAGGCTAAGTACATTGCTTAGAACTAAGCCCTGCCAACTTCTATTTTCATCAGAAACAGGACTCTGTAATGAGACATGGCTGCCATTGTACAAACGGCCATCTCGGTTGGGAATAACCCTACCAAAGACTGCTGTACTCAGACACTTAGCCATGAATAAGGGCTCTTTGGAGCCCTTGGAATACAAGAACCTCAATCATTTCCCCAATTTTGCCTTGTATTTGGAGTTTTTTGTTGAGTTTTATTTTTGCCTTCACTCTAATAGCCCAAATACCTAAAAAGTTACCCTTCCCTTCCCAGAGTGGCGTGTAGAGCGTTCAGTACTTTTTCTGGTTCAACCTCTTAGTCTCTCCCTCTTTCTAATTACAAAAACACATGTTTGGTACTGGAAATGTGGGAAACAAGGAGAATATTTTCTTAACTATTGTTGCTGCTTGTTTTACACTAAATATTTAGTAGGAGTCTTTGTACCTTTCTTATTAACTTCCTGTAACCTTGGAGATTAGGTTTACTTGTTTTTCTTTGGCATTTAAACTATGCTTCCCCCAGCAAATATGATATCAACTTATTTCCTACTGCTTTTCCAAAGTTAAATAGACACATTATGATTATCTCCCCAATAAACAAGACGTTCCCTATTCCCTTCCCACCCTCCTGCCCTTCTCAAAATTTCTGCCCCCTACTTAAATACTTAAGGTTAAACTCAACCCCAACTCAAAGAGATCATCCTTTCTCCACCCCCAATACAAATCCCCATTCCCCCACCACTGCTCCTCCTTCCCACTTCCCCCTCTCCTCACCCTAACCCCACCCCCATCTTCCCCCACCTCCCATCTCCCATTACCCCTCCACCTCCTCTCACCCCCTCATCACCCCACACACATACCTTTCTCTAACATCAGTACCCAGTCTGACCACTCACATTAACTCAGACACTTAGTTACTACAGTACCTGGTACTTGTTTTCTTCTCTACTTACCTATTATATGCCCTGCTGCCTACATGT